TGCAAAACAAATACAGGGGGCACAGAGTGGAAAATCCAGGGACCTTCCTCCCTTAGCTGTTCTAGAAATAGAAATAGAGGTCTGTGTTCTCAGTTAAAAACATGGAAGACAAGAAAAGGCAATTCGAGATGAAGATTCCTCTCAAATGGTAAAAGAGGTTATGATTTTAAAACTCAGCCTTCAATTTAAAGGAGTTAAATTATATACACTGAAATAGAAGACAAGCTGTCTTGAGGATTTGGAAAAGCATTTTCTTCTTCCATGGGAGGGGGGGGGTTAGAAAGAAAGGCCATTTTTCCTTCCACCCAAATAGGGCAAAAGCATAGTACCTCCAGCCCTGTAGCATGAGAGCGGCTGTCAGTGTAGTGTGCACTTGTGTACATAACATACAAACAAAGTGTATGCTTATCAGGTTCAGATAATTAAGCACTTACCAACTCACTGCTCATTTTTTAAAAGTTTGCCCTAGCAGCCAGATCCACAGTTCCCCCACTAGTCTACATGCTTCTCCATTAGTTGGGGACCAGGGCATTCCCAAGGGAACCCGTGCAGTGCCTGGCAAAGAGCAGAAGCTGTCAGTTGCTTCCGGCTTTGGTCCACAGAACTGGATGTCAAAACTGCTGTAGGTAGGTGGCAGTGTGGTATGCTGGTTCAACACCCAGCTTTAAATGTACCCAGTTAGCACTGTTAACCATCTCTTTGTGGTCTGGGAGCAAACTGTGAAATCGTTCATCGTCTCAGTCTCAACTTCTCATCTGTAAAACAGAGAGTAGCTTCCACAGTTCTTTCAAAGATTGAAATAACCAGTGAAAAGAGCCTAGTACGTGTTCTTAATCATGGTAGTTTTTATTACCTTACATATGAGCACTGACCAAATGAGAGTGATTATCATGACTGCTGACTAGACTAGCTGAAGACTGAGAGGAAATTGAACAAAGCCAACATTCCACTAACTGTAAGGTTACTGGTTCACTCATTTGTCATGGAACACTGAGGTAAACCTAGATCGAGGGTGGCATGCTCACATTTCCAAAGACCCATTTCTCTTGTATTATGGAAGTATGTGCTGGTCAACTTTCTGGAGGGGGCCGGGGAAAGACTTGAAAATCCTTATCCCTTTCATGAGCTGCATCTTTGTTAAACCCAGCCTGAAAATCCAGGTAGTGTAGTACACCTGAGGGGGCTTTTGCTTTGGCACAGGGACTTCCTAATTTTGGCATAAGGGACTTCCTAATTTGTTCAGACACCAGTGTGCCAGCGCGGTCATCCATCTCCACCACTGACCACCCCAACCATGTTTCAACATGGTTGGGGTGGTCAGTGTCAATGCTTGTATACCTGGAGAACAAAACGATGTGTTATCTGCACCCAAGTGGAGGTCAAGTCCTGGCCTTCAAGGAGAAAGGGTCACAGCTTCAAGAGGAAAAATCCATCTGACCTCCAGTCCTTCAAGAGGGCGGGATCCTAAGAGGGCTTCCGAGTGGAGTCCAGCCCCGCGGGCTCACAGAGTATTGGCCTCATACTAGGTGTCCTGCGGTCCCTCTGCGTGTCTCTGAGCTGGTGCCCAAGTCCCGCGGCCGGTAATAGGTGCACTGAACAGGCCAGCACGCCCTCCCGAGATTGTCCCCGCTCTGCAGACCGCCAGCCGGCTCCTCGG